ATCCCTTCTCATCCATTCTCCTCTCAGGATCTTGGGCATGCATGCACACACGCCCAGCTTGAGTTTAAGGCACTGAATCTAGGACTCAAACCGTACTTGACTACATGGGAGTCCAGTGATGTAGCCATTTCGCCATCTGCTGGTCCCATTCAAGTATATTTTTATTGACAATATATTTAAGTAGAAACGAATCAATACAGACCAGATAAATTTCTTTCATGGATTTTTCACAAAGAGAATACTGTATAACATATTAAAATGTCTTCAGTAATATCATCATATTAAATATAGCAACATTCTGATAAGTTGTCAGTGTAGTCCTTAAATAGGGACTACTCTTGAGTAGGAACATTCAACTTTGTGCAGGAACTTTGGTGTAACAACGATATTGTTGAAGCCTTTTATTATTCCTAATGCTAAAACACAGAATAATGATCTTTGTTCAGTTCATCAACCAAAGAAATATCAAGAAAGTAGATTTTATTTTTCTTCCTAGGGTATGAACACGCTTGTCAGTATTACATTATGTGCGTAGGCATTGTGTGGGTATGACTTGTTATATGCTGAACCTATTCAGGAATTTGGCCAAGGCTGTGAATCAGCCAAGTGTAGGAGCAATTTCAAAAATCTCTAGGTTGCAGAGTTTCAAGTTCTTATTGCGAAGGTTCCATTGTTAAATGCAATACGTGAGATTTTAGTCCATATGAAACCCTATAACATTAAATGTCTTTATACCTTATTAAAGGGGGGGACCCTATTAAAGTCAATTTAAATGGTACTTTCAAGAAGTATGCACTGCCTTTTAAACTAACCATACAAACACATATTAGTCTATTGGCAAACAACCTTGAAAAAAACAGGTTAATATAGATGCACCTGTGCTTGCAGCTTGTTTAGCTTAATCAGTAGGTATTACATGACATCTAGGACTCCTGTGATAATTCAGTTTGTATGTGTATTCTGTCAGACTCAGCTTGAATAATATAATTCTATGACCACAAAGCCTGATTTAGCAATGTTAATTTGTAAGATATTAATTGTATTTTCTAATACTTCCATTATAAAATACCCTTAGGGTGACTTTGAGTATGTCAAATATGACACTCCTCAAATGCTTGCTAATCCAAAGTATGTGGACTCTTTGGATTAGTCTACTCTAAGTATGGTATGAACTGTTACTAGTTTACTATGAGAAATGTTCAAAACCGAGAGTAAGCACTTAGAAACTTTTATAACAATTTGTTAAGAGTAATTTTATGTCAGTGGGATCTGTTAGTTTAGAAAGGGATTGTATTTTGAATTACTTTTCATTTCATGTGTTTAAATAATTCATTTTGACTAAATTTTATAAAAGTGTGATCTGCAATGAATTAGAGGCAAGGAAAAATAAGACTAGTTCTTTTGCACAGAAAGCACAAGAAACACTGCCCTGGATTAAGTGTGAGACTCCAAACCTGAAATTGTTCTTTAGGTCTTATCTAAAGCTTTGCTTTCAGGATAGAAGAAAGCAGATATCCTATGAATGTAGAAATATAGGTATGTGAATCATTGATCTCTTACTAAATCTGTTAAATGGTACAAGCAAGTACTATGTCACAGATCTTGAAATAACTGCTCTACTACCTCTATTTATAAGTATCACATAGAAGAAGTAGAATAAAGGGTTTGAGCAATACATTGGGAAATAGGCCACACAAAAATTACTTAACCATTATCCCATATACAATTTTATGTGAGAAGCTTACTTTGTTACATTTTTTTTTTTTTGGAGAGGTTTTCGCTATAGGGTACGTGCACTCTCCAGACAGACAGAGAGAGGCAGAGAGACAGAAAGCGAGAAATCACCCCCCAGGGGGGATGGCAACGCCGCAATCCCTTCTCCTCCATTGTCCTCTTGGGATCTTGGGCACGCATGCACACGTGCCCGGCATGAGTTTTAAGCCACCGGGTCGGGACGCGAACCGTGGTTGACTACATGGGAATCCAGCGACATAGCCATTACGCTAACTGCTGGTCCCTTTGTTACATTTTTTGAGAGGTTTTTGCTATAGGGCACATGTGCTCGCCAGAAAGACAGAGACAGAGAGATCGAAAGTGAGAAATCACCCCCTGGGGGAATGACCATGCCACAATCCCTTCTCCTCCACTCTCCTTCAGGGATGTTAGGCACGCACATATGCCTGGTAATATGCCTGATGTGAGTTTATGCCACCAGGTCCAGGACTTGAACCACAGTTGACTACATGGGAGTCCAGTGACATAGGCATTACGACAACTGCTGGACCCCTTTGTTACATTTTTAACTTAAGCAACAGTTGATTAGAATTTAAGAGTTGGGGCACTGGATGGTGGTACAGTGGTAAAATGCAATGCTCTGTGAAGCAGTACTACATTGGAAGGGGAAGGATTCCATGAGAAGGATCCTGGTTCTCCCTGAGTATGCTGAGCACATGCTTGTCTATGATGTGGGGCTGGCTGAAGGCTAAGGGTGGATTATGGCATCTGAATTCTGTTCGGGAGGGGTCTCTCTTTTTAACTTCACTGTCTTTTAAAATAGATAAATTAATAAAAAATTAAATTAAAAATTGTTAGGGTTGGAGATGGGACATGGAGACACACAGCAAATATTACTAATTTAAAAAAAAACTAAACAACCCTTTTCTAATGAATAATTCTTATAAACAGTAATGAATTTATACTTGTATTCATAACTGATATTTTATATAAATGTAGCTTTTAATGAATCATAATCTTAGAAAAAATTAGATGCTATTTAAGTTTGCTTTATAGTTTTAAAGAGTTGAACTTTATTTACTGAGATCATTTTTTTTTAGAGGTTTTTTTCTATAGGGCGCATGCGCTCCCAGACAGACAGAGAGACAGAGGGATAGAAAGCGAGAAATCACCCCCCAGGGGGGATGGCCACGCTGCAGTCCCTTCTCCTCCATTCTCCTCTCGGGATCTTGGGCATGTACACATACGCGTCTGGCGTGAGTTTAAGTCACCGGGTCCGGGACGCGAACCGCAGTCGACTGTATGGGAGTCCAGCGACATAGCCATTTTGCTAACTGCCGGTCCCCTGAGATAATTTTCAATCTTGATTCTTTTTATACTGGCAGAAAGATAAGCAGCACCTTACATTTTATCTTAGAAAACAAAATCCCTGATAGCTTATAGAATGAACCAATAAGTAAATAGAAATTTAGATATGAAATTCATGATTTCTTTGCTCTTTATTAATGTAATAGAAAGGGGCTTGGGTTTTAAAAGGATGTCCCTAGCTAAATTTATCTTTTGTTATGTTATTTGTCTCTTACATCACAAACTTTTCAAGATCCAGGACTATGATAGCCACTTATTTCTAAAATTTTCTTTTGTATAGTAGTATGTATAGATATATATATTTGAGAGGTTTTTTTTGCTATAGGGCACATGCGCTTGCCAGAAAGAGAGAGACAGAGAGACAGAAAGCGAGAAATCACCCCCCCCAGGGGGATTGCTATGCTGCAATCCCTTCTCCTCCATTTTCCTCCCGGAATCTTGGGCATGCACATGCGCCCGGTGTGAGTTTAAGCCACTGGGTCTGGGACTCGAATCGCGGTCAACTACATGGGAGTCCAGCGACATAGCCATTACCCCAACTGCTGGTCCCAGTATTTATTACAGAGTGTAATTCTTTGAATAAAAGGAAGTGAAAAAATATTAACTTAGACTATAAATTATAGAATTATTTGTAGGGCAAGGTATATTTATAAAATTTGATAAAATACAAGGACATATAGTGTTTTTCTGTAAGAGTGAAAATGGCTTGAAATGTGATATAAACTTTTAAAAAATTTCTCTATTATGTTTTTCTTGTGAGAAAGAAGACTGGTCCTGATGCTGGGCAACTGTATGCAATGAAGGTGTTAAAAAAAGCTTCTTTAAAAGGTAGAACATTTAAAACTTTATTATTTGGATTATTGGAAAAGTTATGGCATGTAAAAATGCTTCATGGTGTCAGGACTTTTCTGATGATCCATAAAACAGAACTTGGCTAATCTTGTTTTAAGAAATACAATTGTATTGCTTATATTAGGTAAGAGAGAATTTCTTTTTAATATTGGTAATTATTGTTTTCTACTCAGTGTGTGATATTTCTAGGTTTGATATTGGCATATGCCTTCATTTAGTGAGAGTGTACCCCAGCAAAAATTTAATGCTAGAAAAAGTGATATATTTATTTTATGGTAAACCTGTTAATTTTATTAAGTTGTAGTCTTTTCTTTCCAGATTCTTGTTATTTTCTGTTCTATCTATGTTAGTATTCTGTTGGGTTGTTGGGAAAGTCATGATGTATTTTTATGTTTTTCTGTGCAAAAATATGTCATGACTTTCATGACAACCCAACATACTTAAAAAGCACAACCACCTGCATACACCTAAAATACACTTTCTGGGCTTGACAATACCATTGTGATCAGTTTTGCTCATTTGAACAGTTAAAAACTAATACATAATAAGTACATATTTGAATACCTGTTTATGCCATTTTTAATCCACCTCTATGTCTAAACTGAATTTGTTGGTTTTCTGAGAATATGGTCTTTGTTATCTAAGGATATATAGACTGCATATTCAGGCATTTAGGAAGTTATGCAAGTAAATGCAAGTAAATCTTGCATTCTCTGATAAATTTTTGATAGAATCTTTACTGAAGTTATACACAAGAATAATACATTCTACCCTTATGTAATTTTTAGTTAGAGACAGAGTTCGGACAAAGATGGAGAGGGATATACTGGTGGAAGTAAATCATCCGTTTATTGTCAAATTGCACTATGGTATGTAATCTTTGTTTTATTTATGGGCTAAAGAATTAAGATTTCCTTTTAGATAATTCCAAAACAGAAACAAATACTTCAGACTTATTTAATATATTCAACTATGTCAGATGTGTGTATCTGAAATAAGTATTGATATCCTGCTTTTAGTTTTATTCTATTTCCTTCATTTGATTAAGTTGGTTTACTTGTCTGTAGTAACAACATAGTGCCTTCCACTTAATTTTTATGGTGGTATTTCTTTCTTTCTTTTTTATTTATTTATTTACTTTGGAGAGGTTTTTGCTATAGGGTGCGTGTGCTAGCCAGAAAGACAGAGAGAGACAAAGAGACAGAAAGCGAGAAATCACCCCCCAGGGAGGATGGTCACACTGCAATTCCTTCTCCTCCATTCTCCTCTCAGGATCTTGGGCATGCATGCACACACACCTGGCATGAGTTTAAGCCACCGGGTCCAGGACTCAAACTACAGTTGATTATGTGGGAGTCCAGCGACATAGCCATTATGACAACTGCTGGTCCTTCTTTTATTTTTTTAAGAGAAATTTTTACTATAGAGTGCAAGTGCTCACTGGAGAGGCAGAGAGAAAGACAGAAAGGGAGAAATTGCCCCTAGGGGGGATGGCCAGGCTGCAAATCCCTTCTCCTCTCAGGATCTTGGGCACACATGCACACACGCCTGGCTTGAGTTTTAAGTTGCTGGTCCCAACGACTTAATATAAATTCCTGTGATAATTTATCAAAAATTAAATAGGTGTTTCTATTAATCTTATTTCTTGGTTCTGTTCAAAGGAGGACCATGTAGTTATATTAATCTATTTGAGTACTTTTTTATAATTAGGAGGAGAGGAATACCGGTAAGTTATAGGTATAATGGAAAAACAAGCCTTTGGAATCATAATTCTGAAGTTGAATCAAGGCTTTATTGCTAATTTAACATACAGATGTGATTGTGGAGTATGGCAGTTAGTTCACTCATTTATTCAGTTAAATCAGTTTTAATTTTCTATATTAAAAAAAGTAGGAACTGGGGACAGCAGGTGGTGTAGAAGTTAAGGCTCCTGGACTCCCACCTGGAGGTTTCAGTTCTAAATCTGGCAGTTTGCTTTCTCAGTTTCCCTCTCTCTCTAGTCAACTTAAAAAAAAAAAATAGTAGTGACAGTTAACAAAATTGAAAAAAACATAATTATTTTAAAAAGTAGCAACAATTGATTTTATTTTTAGACAGTTTTGACAAATAATGAATTAAAATATATACCGAAATTGTCTCTGTAAAAAATGGTACAAGAATTTCCTACCCATTATTATTTTGCTTTCTGTTACCCTAATGGAATAAAAGTAGTAATATCTAAAGGCCTCCTTGAATCTCTAGTATGTCATTAGATTAATTAGTAAACACCTGTTGCGTGTAAAATACTGTATTAAATGCAGTGTGCTGTAGAACTCAATCTCTGACGTCAAGAAATATATCATTGTGGGACCAGCAGGATGGTGTAATGATTATATCACTGGACTCCCATGTAGTCGACTGTGATTCGAGTCCCAAATCCGGTAGCTTAAAACACACCAGGTGCATGTGTGTATGTGCCCAAAATCCGGAGAGGAGAATAGAGGGGAAGGGATTGTGGTCTAGGGAGTAATGTCTTGCTTATTGTTTCTCTGACTCTCCAGCATACACCATATAGCAAAAATCTCCCTCTGAAAAAAAAAAAGGAAATGTATCATTTATAGGGATTACAGGCATGTAAAAATAATTGTGTAAATGAAAAGAGAATAAATGCCATAAGAAAGATATAACTAAAGTACAGTGAGACCAGAGAAGTAGTAGAAATATTTTGTAGTTTTATCAACTGTACTAGGGAGAAATGTTCACCTGTTGAAATATCCATTTTGTAAGCCAAATAATATTGTGATTAAAGGTATAAAAGAAAATGAAATTAAAAAGTAAAATAAAATAAAGAAGTAGTAGCAAATAATTATGATGTGGAAAAGAGTGCTATACGGAAATGTGAGAAGGAACAAATCCTGGAACTCTTAATAGAGAAGGTGACATTATTGAGCTTTACAGAATAAGTAGATTTTCAGTAGGTAATTGGGAGACAGTTTGGGCAATTGCATTGGAACATGATGCTTCAGGAATCAGGAAAATGGTAGTGGTAGAAATTTCTGTTTAATGTCATGAACATGGTTGATTATGTTCTGGGAAGGGGCTTAGATTTAAAACTGCATTTAATTTTGAGATAATGTTATCCAATAATGGGCCATGCGAGTAGGTATCTAATTGTTTTATAGTGTTTAGTTATAAAATTCTAAACAGATACATTAATTAAAAATATTGGGTTGGAAAAATCCCGACATTTTTGTATGCAAAAATGCATCATGACTTTTCCAATGACCCAATATACTAAATCTTTAAGGATCTGAAATTGTTCTGTTGCTACATTCTGATTTCTGATTAGCCTTTCAGACTGAAGGGAAGCTGTATTTAATACTGGATTTTCTCAGGGGAGGCGATGTTTTCACAAGATTGTCCAAAGAGGTGAGTATCTATAAATTTTTTCTATATTTTATTGAAATAAAACTTTAAAAAATATTTTTATTCTTTTGCTAACTATTTTTTTTCCTATAGAAATGTTAAATAGTACTTATTCTGTTTCATTGCATAGTATTTAGTGATGTGCCAATTAATGGCATTTTCTGTCTGGTTGTCATTTCAGATCATCTTAGATTATGCTCCTCATTTTTTTCTTAAACACAAGAATGATATAAATAATTGGATGAGGTAGATAGGAGCAAACCTAGGACTTTGGCTACTCAAGCTACTTAATGCCTCTTGGAATAGTATTTAGTTTACTCATTTTAAAAATAGCTTTATGGGGGCCAACAGGTGGTGTGGTGGTGGTTAAGGCACTTGACTCCCTCTTGACTGACCATTCTTCGAATCCCAGACCTGGAGGTTTGCTTTCTCTCTCTCTCTCTCTCTCTCTCTGTGTCTCTTTCTGTTCAAATTGAAAACTAATAATAAATAAAATTAGATAAAAGTAGATTAGATTTCTGTTCAATTGAAAAATAATAAATAAAATTAGGTAAAATTAGATTAAAGCTAATTTGCTTTACGGAGGTTTAATAAACATAAAAAAACTACATATTAAAATACACAACTTAAAAAAATACACAACTTGATGATTTTTTATTTTTATCTTCTTTGAAACCATCATTATAATAAAAATAATGACCATATCTATTCCCAAAAGTTTTCTTGTTATCGCTTTATAATGCCTTCTTCCTGTCTTAACCTCACTTAATCTGTTTTCTGTCACTATTTGGTTTGTATTTTCTAGGAGTTTATGTAAATGGAATCATACAGTATACTTTTTTTGTTTGACTTATTTTAAGTTGAACATAATTATTTTATGATACTTCCATGTTGTTGTATGTATCAGTAGTTCATTAATTTTTACTGCTGAGTAGTATTACCCATTGTATGGATACACCATGAATTGTTCATCCATTTACCTGTTGATGGATGTTTGGTGTTACAGTTTTTGGAAATTGCCAATAAAGCTGCTATAAACATTGGTATACAATTCATTGTATGGACATATGTTTTCATTTTTATGGATAAATATTTAGGAGGATAATGACTACATCATGTAGCAGGTGTATTTATGTTTTAACTTTTAAAGACACTGCCAAACTGTTTGCCAAGGTCTTTGTATAATTTTTACATTCCCACCAGCACATATGAGAGTTTCACTTGTTCCAAGTCCTTGTCGAGACTTGTTATGGTCAGTCTTTAAAATTTCGGACATCTGTTAGTGGTATCTCAGTTTGGTTTTGAATTGCATCACACTAATGACTAATGATATCAATCTTTTTTTTTCATGAGCTTATTTGCTATCTACCTATCTTCTTTGGTAAAATGTTTAGATATTTTGACTGGTTTTTTTATTGGATTGTTTGTGTTCTTAATTTACATTTGAGGGGTCTTCATATATTTTGGATGTAAGTCCTTGATCATACAGGTTGTTTGCAAGTTTTCTTCTGGTTTATGGTTTATCTTTTATTCTCTTAACATTGTCTTTTTAAAAGCAGAAGTTCTTGGGACCAGTAGATGGCATAGTGGTTACATTGCTGGACCTCCCACATAGTTGACCACAGTTTGAATCCCAGACCCAGCAGCTTAAAACTCATGCCAGGCGTGTGTGTGTGTGTGTGTGTGTGTGTGTGTGTGTGTGTGCCTAAAATCCCAAGAGTAGAATGGGAGATAAGGGATTGCAGGGTGGCCATCACCCCTGGGGGGCAATTTCTCACTTTATGTCTCTCTGGCAAGCACATGTGCTATAATAGCAAAGATCTCTCTCTTAAAAAAAAAAAAGAAAAGAAAAAAAGAAAGAAAGAAAACCATAACCATAGATAGAAGTTCTTAATTTTGATGAAATCTGACTATAGTGTATTTTCACTTTATTAATTGTGGCTTTAGTGTTCTATTTAAGAAACATTTACCTAATCCCAGATAAAGATTCTTTCCTTTCCTATGTTTTCAGAGGTTTGTAGTTAATTTTTTATATTTAGACTGTTCATCAATTTGAGTTCATTTTAGTATATGTTTATAGGTCTGTAAAGTCCTTTTTTTAACATAGAGATACCCAAGAATTTTAGTATCATTATAAAAGACTATCCTTTCTTCAGAGAATTACATTGCATGACATTTTTGTTGAAAATAAATTGATCATACACATGAAAGTCTATTTTTAGTACTTCTATTCATTGATCCATTTGTTTATAATACTACACTGTCTTGATTACTATACCTTAATATGTCTTGAAGTCAGGAAGTGCAAATCATTGAGCTTTTTTATTGTGTGTGTGTGCTCCCCAGAGAGGGAGAGAGGGAGAATGCACCCTCCAATGGGGTTCGTTCACACCACACTCTCTTCTCTTGCATTTCTCCGCTATGTGAGGATTTGGGGTATACATGTCCACATGTCCAGTGTAGCTGGTGGTTGTCTTTTTTTTTTTTTTCCTTTTCTTAGTTTGCTATAGGATATATACTGTTAGAGGCAAGAGAAAGTAGTCCCCCAGGGGATGGCCATGCCACAGTCTCCTCCATTCTCTCAGGACTTAAGGCACATACATCCAAGTACCTGGTGAAATTTTCCAGTTACTGGGTTTAGGACTTGAATTGCACAGTCAGCCATATGAGACCCAGCAGCCTTAACTTCAACATCACTTACTAGCCCTGCCCATTGTGTTTTAAAAGCTGTTGGGACTGGAACTCAAACCAAGTGGTAGGTCCTGTTGGGATCTAGCTACTGTAACTGCTGGATGATAGGGATAGCCCTTCTTTTCTTCTTGAAAGTTGTTTGGGCTTTTCTAGTTCCTTTGCATTTTTATATAAATTTTGAAATCAGTTTTTCACTTTTTAAAAAAAATTACACTTAATCACTATATATCTTTACAGTGTACAGCGTTGCTTTTTCCAGTCAATATATATAATTATATCTTTACAGTGTACAGCGTTGCTTTTTGCAGTCAATATATATAGTATGTCTGCACTATATAGCAGAAACTGAAAGTTTGGGAGGTTTAGTAGTAGGGAGGGTAACTGTAGATACTAGAGATAGTAAGGAAAGGGTAACATGGGGATAGGTAAT